TTAATAGCAGGAATATCAACACATTTAAAATTGACATTATCTTTAATTAGGATTACAACTCCTCCCCCTCGACCCAAACTTCGGGAAAAATGAGATGCTGCCACATAGTTTGAAATATTTAGCAAAACAATTTCTTCTGGTGTCATTTTATGTTCGCTCAGTGCAATAATATCTGGTTTGGTCTCGTTAAGAAATATTTCAAGAAGGTTTTGGCGGGAGGGAAGGTGTTGAACATTGTGATGTATAATTGAGAAATTATTATTGAACTTACTACTGCTATGATTACTTGCAATTTGTCTAGTTTTACTTTTAGCACTTATTTTGTGAGGGATGTTTAGTTTCAAAGTTGGTATTGTTAGATTGGTGGAGTTACTGGAATCAATAGGGAGTTTAAAGGCAGGAAAATATTGGATTGACTGTCATTAGTGGTGAGGTAAGGCGCAGATGGTTGGAGGTTATCAGGGTCACTAATTATACATTTGCTCTTTAAGAGAAGTGGACTTGTGCAGGACTGAGACTCACACACTTTCACAATACTTTGCTTTTGCACTGCACTCTTTACCACTTCACTATACTCCAGAGGACCAGGTACCAGCCGAGGAGAAGTGCTGCCAGCAGACATGGTCAGTGGTGGACACTCGTGAGTGTGAGGTGTAGAGGTGGTGATGTTGTCACGGTCAGTTGTGGTGGAAGTAAGTAAGTTGGTCTCCTTAGATTTCAGTGGTGTTTTCTGGTGTTTAGGTTGTGACGTGGAGGAAGAAGACTGCTCATCTTTGTGGGATTGAATTTCTTTACTCAGTTGTTGGAGAAAGCTGGAGTGAGAAAGTCCATTCCACAATCTTCTCTTTGCACTTGGTTGGTCGCAAGACAGCACACAGATTGTTGCATTTGTTGTTTCATGCAGTCTTCGAACATTCTTGGAGAAGTGTTTCAGCTGAATGTGGTCCCGTACGCAACCCATGGGCGAACATATTATTGTCTCAAATTTCTTCTTCGAAAAATCTTCAATGAGCTGAATGAACGCCTCGTCGTAGTCTTGTACAGTTGGCTTGCCACAGTACTCCTCTTTTGTGACCAGGCTGTATACTGTTGCTCCATTTGGCACCTTTTGACACGTCAATTTTGTATTAATGAAGTCAACTTCTTTCGGCCTACCAAATTGTTGTCTGAATGCAACTGCCACACCGGCAGTCATATTCCTTTCATGGCTGATATCTCTGGATATTGTGTGGGCAAACGCAACAGATGGATCCCCTTTGATTAGGCTGATGGCTTTTCTCATGTCCATTTCTATAACATTAATGTCATGTTTTCTTATGCCTGGCATTTTTTCCTTCCAAGTGACATTGGTGTTAAGCTGTGTTTTCCGCTTCTGTTGGGGAGTAATCATGTTCTTTATCATAGCTGCCAATTTTATTTTACCCTTTTTGTTAAGATGTAGTCCATGCGTTGTATATAGGTGGCGAGGAAGCTCATTCAGGGGAAGAAATTTAGCGTGTTCATGCTGAATCAGAAGTTGTTCCAAGTCAATATTTATGTATGATATTCTTCTATTTAATCCTAGTGTGTGATGTCTATAAGGCAGAGCAGAGACGATGACATTTGTGTGATTTGTCTTGTTCAACATTGTTCTTATAGTTTCACAGTAGCTTAACTCAGCCTGTACAATTTCATTATTTGACCCTCCTAGTACAATGACTGTATCGGCTTTTGTAAATAATTTGGTAAGCTCTTCTACTTTAATAAGAACCTCCTCCATCGTAGCATTTGGTTTAAAAATACAGTTTATATTGTAGTCGTTCCCTTGCCAGATAGATGATAGGTTTTTACTAAGGTATCTCCCATGACTGTCTGCTAAAATAAGAATATTCTTTTTATTATTTTGGTGCTTGGGGAGGGGTGGGATTGTCTTTGTGTAGCTTACAGGCTTAAGGGTTTTTAATTTTTCTTTTTTTGTAGTTTTGTCATTAGATCCATGTTTGGGGCTATGAGTAGTCTTGTTATTAATATTTCTGTTGGTAGACACAGTCTCAGTGGTTGTTAGGATCTGTGGGTTATTAGGATGTGTTAAATTAACTTAATCATCAGGGATATTTATGATTGAATTATTTAGGATTAAATTCATGATCAGTATTGTATGTTTTATTGGTATTTATTCCGTATAGGTGCCTCCAAACGAATTTTTAATTTTGATATCTTACTTTATATTTTTTTACCTCCTGAATCCAAATATACCATTATTTTTCACCGCTGATGAATATTTCTCAAGATATCACCGTAAAAACATACTTAACATTACAATAAACAAGATAGGATGGATAACATTTCAAGTGATTCTGTAGTCAAATAACTTAATGTTCTTCTGTTTGAAGTGTAATGAGAAAAACACTTCAAATTACTTTTTCAAAAATGCTTGCATTTTTGAAATAGCAATTTGATGTGTTTTTTCTGGATTTTAATTTTACAAAAACAGTCTGCAGGCGACATAAACTAACAACTTGATACATTATAACCTAATAACTTACCTAATCTAACCTAGCCTACATTCAAAGGACTTAATGCAGTCACCAATTCACATAAAGCACGACCTATCACCCTGACATGCCTTTTCTGACATCAAAAGGAGTTTGCTTACACATTCTAGAGGTTTGGTTAGGTTAGGTTATGTTAGAATAGCACCATTTTATTATGTAATTTCTAAACGGTGAAATATAAATCAACAAATCATTAATAAGGATAAAATACTGGTAACAATAACACATTATTAACTAGTTGGTCTTAGAAAGTGAAAAGTGTAACTTAGTCAGGTGATTTTCATATTGCAGAATCCGAGTTAGCTAATTAAAGTTGTCACCTCCATTTGCTTGACTATGATTGAAAACAATCAGCTGGTTGGTTTACTTAAACCATAGCTCATTCCACTTATAATAAATGTCATCCATCCTACCTTGTTTATTGTAATGTAATATTATTACGGCGATATCTTGAGAAATATTCATCAGCTGTGAAAAATAATGGTATATTTGGATTCAGGAGGTAAAAAACTATAAAGTAAGATATCAAAATTTAAAATTCGTTTGGAGGCACCTATACGGAATAATTACCATGTTTTTTTTAAATTTACAGTCAACTTAAGGTAAATGTAACTTACCAGTAGTTGACACCGAGCCAGTAGTTGAAACTTTACAAATCTAACACTAATAACAAGAGTTCATGTTAAAGTTCCTTTGTGTTCAATATATTAAAAAAACTTCATATTTTTATAGCCTCGCCTCGTTTTCCTCGTCACAAACGGATGAGAACCTCTTTAGGGAAGGAGTAGGGGGCGCATGACGTCACTCTTCTCTTGAGGGAACACCATTACCGTAACGAGACAATTTGATTGCAGCGGCGTTCATGGCGTAGTCGACCACTGGAGTATACCCTGTCATCTTTTGGTGCATAAGCCTGAACTCTTATTTTCTTAGTAGGCCTATTCTAAAGTTATTAGGCCTATTGTCATGTAATGGCACAAAATTCAACAACCAAACTAAGCCCAACAGATCTATAACTTATAACTTAGGCTATTATTTGTATTACAGTTTCAAGACTTTAAGTTTAGTTTTATGATAAAATGTCACCTAATAAGGGGAGTATGCCGTTCTATAGCCAAGATCAAATTACATAAGGCCGTTGAAGACGCGACAGTAGGGAAAGTATCAGTGGCTAGTGCCACAAAACCAAATCAGATGACGAAAATATAAGTATTGTAGCCTTTATAAGAATGGTTAAAAGAATCAAAGTGTCAACTACTGGTAGGTACGCTGGGTGTCAGCTATTGGTAAGATTAGATCCAAAAATTTGTGTCAACTACTGGTACATGTGCAAACTATTACATTAATAAACAAATCATTATTTTGTTAATTTAATTCAATAAAAATGTATATATTAGTTTAATATACAAATTCTAATGTCTGTTTATCACTAATTGTTTTCTAAATTCCATTAATTGATTTCCATCCATCAATTCCATTCCATTGATTTGAGAGTTTTATGACTGCATATTCCATCCCTAAAGTGTTACTACTGGTGCGTTTACCTTAGGCCCATAAAAATTAAAATTCTTGAATTTTTAGGTGTTAATCCAGGGTGCATATTTTTATTTAGGCTAATTTTTGTGTGTTTTATCGATTGAATTAATCTGTATTTTCTCTTTTTGTATTCATTATAATAATAACTTAAGTTAAGTTTTATTCTGTCAACTAACATAAACGTTTATTGATATTTCAAATCTTGGTTTACGTAAGATGATCGGGTCATTGTATTGGCAATAATGGCTGCCGTTTCAAATGAGTTGCTGCAATCCACCCTTCAGCCAGATTACAATTGAACTATCTCAACTTACAATTCAGAGACAGACTAGGCCTAGACATTTCAGTTGAATCAAAGTCCGCCCCGAAGCTGGCCATTATGAGATTACACTACCGGTAGCCTATCAAAAGCAATGATGCCTTAAAAAGATAACATTGTTCGTTGGTACCGATAGGTTTCAGTTTGGCCTATTCGTAAAAATAATGGAGATATATATTAACATTTTAAACTAATCATCTGTAAATTGTAAACAGATCCCTACAGTAATATCTAGAGGAACCTGAATAATTGAAACACCAAGGGAGCTCCCTGAGCTAATGTTGATGAGAAGAGTTAAACAATGGGACTGAAAGCATTGAAAAGTAGGCATAAGCTTACACTCAGAGAATACCACTTTATTAACTTAAATTACCGTACAGATAGTTTTAAGATAATTTGGTGTTACTTGGGTTAACGTTAATTTAATATAGGTAGTTAATCACCAACGGTCACTCAGAATAGGATAGGCTATTATGAAATAATTGTAAACTATAACTTCTCTATATTAAGTTAGTTTAACTACCCTTAAATTGTATATTTTCCAACTTTTTGCTCTAACAAATGGTGACTTATTAAAAGTCTCTTTAATTGTAATTAACCTTTCTTTTTAGAAACCCTCAGAAACTCCGGCAACATGTGTGAATGCTGTAGAAAGTATATTTACCGAAGTGTTAAAGAGAAAGGATATGGCTGTCACAGACTCAGAGAATTCCAGTGAGTTATCTAGACATTAAATAATCCTCCAAAAACAAAAACCAATTTAATATTATAACTTAAATAGTAGTAGGTACAATTCAAACGTAGAAAAATAATCATTATTTACTTTTTTAATTAATAAAATAAAAGCCGTTCCTCTAGCCCCATCTTCACGAGGGGACTTGTGTGCAAATTGCATATCTTATAGTGTCTAAAATTAGTCTCTAAGGCATAACAAATTAATAACTACAAAAGTAACAACACCTCTGTCCCGGAAAACCAATTGGATGTGCAATGTTAATGTTTACACGTGTGTTATTACTTTTATTAACATGGTAATAGGCATGGCGATGCAACGTTGCCATACACTAACACAGTGGCCTTGCATTAGAGGAGGCTATGATAATTTACATACCTCAATCATGTTTCAACAATAAAGTAACCTACTTAACAATGATTTCATTTAATTTAATTTCTCAACATGTTTCATTTAAGCCTAATAATATTCTTGGCATAATAATTATTATTACCTCCTTCACCAAAATGACTTAGTGTATTTAAATAAGTTTCAATCCTTGTTCAATGAGTTGAATCCTGACAAATACCAGGGCAACAGACAGTGGCAATAAGCGTTTCCTCTTTCATCACTTTCCATGTTATGTCTGTGCAGGTGAAGCTGAAAGCCAGTACAAAGATTGGTTAAGAGACTGTTATGAGGAGGCTTGGTCAAAATTATTGATCTGCTTGGAAAAGGGAAAATCAGAATGCAAGTTACAATCACTAAATACATTATTTAAGTTGTTGTCGATAGAAGCTAAATTTCCTGTGATAAAATTGAAAAAGAAGAAAAAGAACAATGTTGGTTTTCCCTTACACAGATTGAAGGCAAGTCTATGTTTTAACAATTTGAAGTAAAATTAGTTATTAGTTTATTAATAGGCCTAGCTTTATTTTTAGGACGTATCTTATCTCGTTCTCTCTTTCAAATTAGCAAGTTATTAATCGTTAAGTTATAAAAAAAGTTAAACAGCTAATCTTTAAATTGCATAACCTGGCTGAGAAAGTTCTTTGAAACAGCTAATAAGTAGTCTCTCAATGTTCAGGCAAACCCAAGTTTCCAAGTGCATAGTGTAGCCTATCGCACCTTAGATTGAGGCAAGCTACCTGACTGCAGGGTAGAAAAAGATGATATCTGGGCTTAATCTGCGAGTAAATACCTTTATCACGCTAGTACCTTGCTAAATACACACACAACATGAAAATTTTTAAAATTCAACTAATTTGCTATCTGTAAAAAAAAAACATGACAGTCTTTAAACCGAGTTATTTTTTGTTTTAAGGTTTTTTAGGTTTTCATCGATCTTAGTAAAATTAATCAAAATCTGGCCAAAATTACTTTTGAGCTATCGTTTTCAATATACATTGACGAATGGCCAGGTATAGTTTAAAGTACGGTATTAAAGTATTTTGATTAAACTTCAGTGTAATCTTTGCTCAATAGTTACAACTGATGGTTATCACTATGTATTCAAATGCAAAATTTGAATTAATTGTGCTTTGGCCTATGGGGACATCAAAATAAAAATACCCCCGCCGCAGCAAACCTGCCGACTAAGCGAATTTCCATTTGTCTGAATTGATTTTCAATTAAATATATTTTAATAACATTAGGTTTGACGAGTACCTAGGTTTGCTGCTACAAGAAACCTAATAAAGTGTGTTTTTGAGTAAAATATTGATAGCTTAGTACAAAATAAATAAATTTGCCAAGTTTGATCAAAATATATCCATAAACAAGCAAATTACAACATTTGACAATATTCTCCATAAGAATAACATGGGAATTTTAAATTTACAATTTTTTTAATTTTCTCCGTTACTAATAATCGAACAAAAATACTTTTATATACTAAATTATTTGTTTTTTTAAGGTCTTTAAAAAGGTCTAAAAAGAAATTGGGAAATTTTGTGTTTTGAGGGTCAAAAGTGAGAAAAACCAATTTTTACCCCATAAAACCCCCCCTAAAGCCCCGTTCCCATGGTCCAATCATGCTGGTTCGCGAACTCATTCAAGTTTATCTCGCTTTACACCTTTAAACCAAATTTCATCAAAATCGGACCAAAATTACTCAAGTTATCGCGTTCACGGACGTATATATATATATATATATATATATATATAAATCTATATATATATATATATATATATACATATATAAAAATTTGAACGAATGGTGTTTTTGGCCTCTGGGGACATCAAAATGAAAAAATAAATCGGTCCCAGGTCTAGGTCTTACCGTGCCACCTACGGTAATAGCTACTTCCCTATAGGGAAATTCGCTAAAAGTAAATCAGTCCCAGATCTAGGTCTTTTAGTGCCGCCTGCGGTAATAGCTTGATCCCTATAAGGGAATTCACTAAAAGTTAGGCCTACTTGATACTGTGTCCATGTCTTCTATGGGAAATTTGCTAAAAGCAACACTAGCCTAAATCTAGCTATTAGTAGGCCTAGTCTAAACACATTTTTCTAAATAATTGTTTGATTCTTAAATCAAGATTTTTTTCCAGCACAATTATTTTATCTCAGCCACTATTGGTTTTACTGATATCTGAGATTTTATTGATAACTGATTAAATTGGTTTTTAGGATATGCTGACATCTTTATACCAGTCGCACACTCTTAGTGAGGAGGTCCTGAAAAGACTATCAGAACTGTTCAACTACAAGGACGTTGAGAGTAACTTGTGGTTGGCGGCAGACGGCGTGTGTAAAGCAGTTACCCAGCAAAACTCTACGGAGAAAACACTTTGGAATCTACTCCTGGTTTTGTCTAAACTACCAAAACTGAAAAAGGGCTCTGAAATAGTCTTGTGTGATATTAAAAGTGAGTTGAATTTACTTTACTTCTGAAGCTACGTTGCCTCTTACTAAGGCATTGGGTGGTCACCCAGAATAGTAGTTTTCATCACTAGTAGCGAAAGTGGCTCTTTTTGGTACGCAATCAAGTCTTACACAGGAGGCGCAGCCGAGCATGGAAATATGATTAGGCCTAAGTACCAAAAAGAACTTCGCTCTCCGCTCTGTGTGGTGAACAACTATTTTCATCACACTGTGGAAATAACCTTGAAATAGTTACAAAATTATACCACATAATTTTACTTTATACAAAGTCGTCATCAATGTTTACATCTCAAGGTTTTACATTGTATTCAAGGTTAGACAGTTGTAGATTTTAAGTAATTAAAATAACATAAAACACCACTGAGCTCTCTAACCCTCCGAGTGTCCCTTGTTTTGGCCTTAATGTCTGCCTATTTTTTGCTCATTTGCAAGGTTTTATTACAACGGATCTGAGAAGCTTGAAAACAATGTTAATTATACTGTTCTATATACCATTTTGTTTGGAAAATCATGGGTTTCAATATTATACATAGAAGATAAGAAACATTTGTTTCAAAACAAATTTTTAGGTAAAAAAAAATTTATTTTGGAAAATTAAAAAAAAAAATAAGTTTGCGCTCAATGAAATTGTATAAATTATAGGCCTATAAATATTTGAAAATAGCCCCTTTGTTCTAAATTTTATGAGGATTACAAATATATAATAATATAAGGAAGTAGACTTGCAAATAAATAAGTTATGGGCAAAAAACAGATTTCAGTACATAGCGTTTAGCTAAGAATGCATAGCCTAACCATAGCTAGGAATCTGGCTGATAATTTACATCAATATTACTACCTACTTCTTTAGGATCATCAATCAGCCCTTCAAAATCACTTAAATCTTCTTATAATGCACCACGTATATCACTACTTTTGATTTTTAACACTAAAACAATGATAAACGTAATAAAACACATCAGTCATCGGTCCGAGGTTAACTAAGCTGTTTACAAATACGCACGTCAGCTGTCTGCTACAATATTTTCTGAACTAAAATGAATAGCGCTTAGAGACAGACCTCCGGAGAAAGCTCTGAATCTGTAAAATAAAACGATACCTAACTCGATCCAGTTCAATCCGATTTTGTCAGTCATAGAGCCTTTGCCGTAAACAGTGTTTATGAGTCGCTGCAGCGACACAAAACACTACACAAAGTGTGTTATGTGTCACTGCAGTGACAAATAACACTCGGAGGGTTAAGCCCGTAATCCTTTAAATTTTAACCATTGACCAACTGAAAAATAGGTTATATAGAACAGCTTCATTTTGGTTTGGCTTGGTGTTACTGCTGAGTTTTACGTTGTTTGTCTCTGTGTTTTAGGTTTCATTTACAACATGGCGATAGATTATTTTATTTTGTTTTGTCAGATGGAGTGCCAGAAGAGAGGTTAGTGCAGGCTGCTGTAGAGAGAGTGTGGAAGAAGCTGTCGGGTTTGCAGTGTTCGCCTCGCACTCATCAGCTGTTGATGGTGGTATTGGTGGAACACATCATGCCCAGGATGGACAACATTATCTTCCTCACAGACTACTTGATGGACGCCTTGGAACGGGATGGTGAGAAAACATCCATGCAACCTGTCTAAGTTGGTTTCACAAAAACTGCTGCACTTTGTTTGCAATAGAATGAAATCTCTACTAATACTCCTTTAACTGTCTTTCTTTGTCCGTTACCTCTAAAATGTTTATTTGGCAATTTTTATTATATGTTTGCCCAATGTTGAATATTCTATATGGCATTGATTTTGTGTTGCAGAATGTGAAATCAGCATGATTGCATTACAAGGTATATTCAACCTGGTCCTCAAACACAACATGTAAGTTCAATGTAGTCTGTATCAAAGGTCTTTCTGTCAAATAGTTGTAAAAGTATTAGTATAAAATCTTCCGTCATTGGAATATTTTGTGATTTAAATTTTGTAGAAAAACGTTTCAAACACTGGTCTTGATATCATCTAATGTCAACTTGTCTTTAGACAGAATGGATAGCCCAATGATAAGTGACATCTGGGTCCAGGCTTGAACTCAAACCAGCCACCTTCAGATTTTAAGACACAACCACTCGGCTACCCAGACAATTACTTTATTAATAGTCTATCATCAGCCATACGTCATAGTGTTTTCTTAGTGATATTTTCAGGGCACTCTGCATATATTTTCAAGGAAGATTTTCCTCACTCTTTTGTCTAAAAATTCTAAACACTACTCAACATAAAGAAATAACTACCAGAACTAATGCATCCCTAATCAATTTTTGTACAAACAATTAATTACAAAAAACACGTTACAGTATTTTGGATGTAACAGCTTGTGTTTGTAATTTAGAGTAGCCGATCTTATTATAAATTTGACATTATTTATGGGTTACTCCTTGATTTTTAACAAATATACAAGGCTCCTGATTCTCCATACCCCCTTAATTTTAACTTCCTCCCAAAATATCATAAGTCTGCGTCCCTGACCATGAGATTGCTATATTTCGCTGATTTTGCTCTAACTTTAGTCTACAATTTGTAATTTATTTTGCAGTGAGTATCCTGACATATTTGGGAAGCTGTATCAACTATTCACTCCAGAAGCACTCAAAGCAAAGTATAAAGCTCGTCTATTTGCTCTTGCTGACGAGTTTCTAAGATCCACGTAAGTATTAAGTAACTCATAAACACTTTATTTAAATATGATTAGGTTTACTATTCTGTCAAGCGAAGCCATGCACAGTATTAATTTCATTTTTTTATATGCAAGACGTTGACAAAACAGATAGTTGTAATGGTTTATTGTTGATAATTAAAATCTAATTGTTACTGTGTACCAAGACAGTATTCACATTTTTGCTAATGATTTTCAAGAATCTTGTTATTATATTATTGATAGAAAACAATTTAGTGTTCTAGTATTGATACAAAACCAATCGAAACAGTGTGACCCTCATAAAATGAATTAAATCATACAAGATTAGTCTTTAAGAAAGAGAATCTAATAGCCATGAATATGTGTTTCAATGTAGACAAATATTTAGTTTTATTATTTTTAACATGTTCGCAATAGTTATTGTATAGATTTCTGAGTTATTCGACCTTGAAGCAACTGGTTTAGATAGGTAAATCAAGATTCTTACACTTTTAATTGTTAAAACTTTTTTTGTTAGGAATTTTTTTGGTTCCAAGCTGTCCAAGGAGAGGGGTCTACTGGAAAACGTACACAATATTAGCCTGATAAGCATGTCCAACCTCATAGTTGTTGATTGTGTACTGTTCCGCAGACATCTACCGCTGGCCCTGGTGGCAGGGTTTGCTAAGCGCTACGCTCGTCTGCTGCTGCATGCTTGTCCACCTGATCAGGTAGTGCTGTTGTCATCTATGGCCAACCTGTTGATACGTCACCCGGACCTGAAGCCTCTCTATCACAACCCTGGTGGAAAAGATGGTGAGAAATTCTTTGAAATGTGTTCAAAATATTCAACAAACTCTAGAGAAAGTTGATGTTTTGATTTAAACTGATGGAATATACAGTGCAGTTGTTTTGTTGGTTTGGTATTTGAAGGGAGATTAAACTCTTTCCCTAGCCTACTGAGAAATTACAAAAGGTTTTCATTGTCAATGGCTAACAGGCATTTAATTGTAAAATAAGGCCATTTGAGACTAGAACAAATAAATAAAGGATGCCTAAAATTAAGGTTGTATTGTAATATATGTGTGTGGGCTTTAAAATATGTTTATTTGCCGTTTGCAAGAGAAGAGGGGATTCTAGTGTAGACTGCTTTAAAATATAATGTCAGCTGTCTAGTTGGGTGTTTATTGATGTCATGATATATTCAATTATTTGAACGGCATGAGTAAGTTTGGACATAGATGTACTATACCATTATTGTACTAAAGTATTGTTGTCAAGTAAATACAAATGACTAAGCAGGTATTAGAGTACAATACTAGGTACCCCTATAAGCTTGAAACTCCCGTAATTCTTAGTTGGATTGTACTCAGCTTTGTAGGCCTAAATGTGCCCATTTCACAACAATGGTTCTACAATGAGGAGTAGACATACTCATGAGGCATATGTACTAGTTGCGGAGGATCCGTACGATGAGGCGGAGAAGGACCCTGTGAAGAGTGGAGCACTCAGCAGCCAACTGTGGGAAGTGAAGCTGATGCAGCACCATCACAGTGACAGGGTCAGCAGACTGGCGATGGTCATCAGCAATGATCTGCCTTCTGTGGAGTACTCCATGGACCCCGTGCTGGACCTCACCTGGGAGAAGGTAGCTCGGTTACGTTTCTTTTGGGAAATTTTTGTTTAAATATGGCTGATTTGGAAACTATTATAAATTAAATACTAAATACAGTTGCATCCAGTGCAGTAGTCCTAGCCCCACTAATCTGATGAGTAGGGTCACAGAAAACGTACTACTATAACCCAGAATGCCAACCGCATGGTAAAAAGCATTAAGCGTTTTGAGAGAGCTTTGCCTGTCAATCCGTAGGCAGCGCCACCAGCGGTTCTATGCTATTGCATGGAAACGCTGGTGGCGCTGCCTACGGATTGACAGGCAAAGCTCTCTCAAAACGCTTAATGCTTTTTACCATGCGGTTGGCATTCTGGGTTATAGTAGTACGTTTTCTGTGGTAGGGTAAACTAGTGGTGTGTGAATACTCAGTAGTTAACTTAGAGGTCTCCAGACCCAGATATCCCATTTTTCATTAGGCTATGAATTAATGATACTATCTAACTAAAAGGTCAACGTTAGTAACAAGACCAGGGTTTGGACGGTTCCTTTTCATAACGTTAAAATTTTTTTTGGCAAAAAACAAAATAAAATAAAAAATAAAATGACACCTAATCCAGCTTTTCTACCTAACCATGTCTGCCTTCTACACTCAAATATAAAATTATGCAATGTTACTGTACAGATGGTCAAATAAAAACCATTTTGGTTTGTCTTAGCAAACTTATTTGCCATTGCTTTAAAAGGAATTTTTTTAGCTTCTGTCCTTTGCTGTCTGTTATTTGTTGTGAGCCCTTTCGATGCTGTAATTTTTTTTGTAATTTTCCAAAAAATACTAGAGTTATTAACCTTTTTTTGTCCGAAAAATGCTAGGCTTGCCAAGGGTGAAAAATGTAGTGTGCCAGAGAAAAATCGGTAAAAATAAAATTTGTCATCTCAAAAGTGCTAAGGAACGATATATTGGGCCTCGATCGTGTGAGGAATTGAAAGAAACCATCGCTGTTTCGAAACAACACTGAGTCAAGCTATATGCGCATTTAAACTTACACGATGAAAAGTCGCGCCAGCACGATAAATCTTTGCTTGGCACTTTTCAAATGAAACGCTAACAACGATATATCGTTCCATAGCACTTTTCGGGGAAAAGACGCACAACGATATATCGTCACATAGCACTGAAAGGTTTAATTAATCAACATATTAAAATGCTACCAGTTAGTTATTACTCTAAAATAATATTTCTGCTTGTTTAATATTACACTACAAAGTCAATTATATTAGGTTTCAAGTTGACATTTAATTTGAACCAAATCCTTGAATTATATGTTGTAATACCAGCCTTTAGATTTGTATTGAAATATTTAATTATTTTATTGTATTTAGATGATTGAGAAGGAAATCAAATTTTTGGAGAAGAAAATTCCTCAAGTTGCAGCGAAATTCCAAGACAAACCTCTCTCAAGCAAGATGGAAGAAGCAAGGCAGAAAGAAATTAGCTTATTATGGGCTGATTTCAATAAATACTTTGTTTGTTAGTATCTTTATTTGAATGTTTCATCAAATATTGTATCTGTTAATTTTTGTAACTGACAAAAAATTTATTGATTCTAAGAAACAGAATGATGCCTATATCATTTAAACCCCAATTCATCTGTGTTTAGGTGTTTTGTTCTAAGATAAGTTACTGTCCGCGAGAGTAAAGAAGTCCCTTGAGCCAGAGCGATACGCAGCTATGTTTGGAGGGTATCGCGCACTATTTGCAGGCGCTAAGCATCTGGGCGCCTCGCCTCGGTGTCTGTCTGTAAACAACTGTTGTAAACATAATTACTCATATCTTTGTTTTGGTAAGTGGATTATCATCATGTGGTCACGTCCTATTATTCATTTCAGTCTCGTGTGTTCGTGTTTTGTTTTGGAAGGTCCTTTTGTAGCTATGGCTTTAAGAAAAAGTGGTGCTACTATACATAGTGGAGAGAGGGATTTAATTAGACGAGTGTTTTGACAAAAAATTGAGCATTTAGCATTGTTTAATGGGTAATAAATAAGTGTAAAAACAATATTGTCTATTGGGTTAGTTACAAAATATGGTTGATCATTCAATGAATAACATATATTTCTTATACAATACGTCATACGTCATAGGAGTTATTGTTATATGTTAACTAGTTTCTATTCTTTTAGAGAAATATATGAAGAATGCTTTTGTAAGAACCTTTAAATATTAAAAAAAAAATTTGGTGGATCTTTTGTGGTAAACACTTCTACGATTTCATCAGTGTTATGCAAATTAAATCTATGCTTTTTTTAGAAAAACATCTGTTTGTTGAGAAGGCACGTTCTTAATTCAAATGAAGGCCCATCATAAAGCTGTGTAAGTTTTATTTTTTCCTTCGTCACGTCGGTCATCATACCGTACTTCTGTCCAAATGAATAACCCTGTTTTGATAAATTGGTCGCTGGGTTACTGGTAAATCTGGAATCGCATGACATGCGGATGTCAGTTGTGTAAGCCTTATCAATTACATACATTTTTCAATATAATCTCTCTTCGGAATGTTAGGTGTAGTAGAATATTGGCTTTTATTCTATAACTGTTAGGGGCCAGTCAGGGGCAGTATAGACCGAGACCTTTCTCTGGACACCTATACCAAGTTTCTACGCCCAGCCGTTCTCTCAAATTAGTGGAGACAAAAAATCCAATTAAATATTTAGATTCCCCATGTCAATCTTATGGGAGAAAACCCAACTTTGATGGAAGATCCTGCCCAAACTAATTCAGATTTCAAAAAAATGAAAACCACTTTGCAAAACTACCAATCTGGGCTATTTTTTGACACTTAAATCATCAAAATAGGCTCAAAAATGAGGAAGGAGTTCTGTTCACAAAATTCGGCTTAGCGTATCATATATATATAGATATATAAATTGTTACATTTAACTAAACAAAAACCATGAAGTAGAAAGGTAATTAATTTGCCTTAGTGACACTAGAAAATGGGTTTCCTTCGATTGTATGCCTATGCAAAAAATATTATGACATATATTTATAAAAATCATACAGCTATTACATACAAAAATTAAGCCTAACAACTAGCAGAGCACAGTGAAGACGGCTCTAATTGTCGCGCAAAACGTTCAAGCGTAACGCCTTCAAATTACCAATAGGCCAGAGCTCAGGGGACTTCTTTACTCTCGCGGACAGTAAGTTTGTGTTTTGTCAATAAAGTAGCTGAATCAGGTATCCAGGTTAGAAGCATGGTTGAATTTCCCTCAGACCCCAGGCCCAGGGAGAGAAAAATTCTTCCTCAAGGTAGGTGAAGATGAGCACGATTATCTCTCGGGCCTATATAGAGCATCGCACGCGAACCGCAGGCCTGCATTTGCCTCCTTAATAATCCAAAAACATTTCCATTTAATTATTTTGAAACTCAATCTCAATCAGGTACCTACCGTAGGTGGTTTTCATAACTTATACCACAGATTAAAGAGTATACAGATTTGTTTCATATTATAAAAATGATAAGGTTTATTCAGAGTACTTGGTTTTGCTGTTTTTTTTATAATCTTATTTGATTCCGTAAACGAATCGGTCCCCACAAAATATCTTGAGCTATAGGAAAAAGGTAGCATGTCTGTTGAGGATTCATTTGAAATTTTAAGGTCTAAGGACGGTGGGAAAAATATAAGAAGTGTCAAAAACTACCCCTGCCCCATGGGCCGTCAAAGATACAGTCATTTTCTAATGTAAGCTATTTCAAGTATACCATTTGAAGCTGATGTAAACATTGTGTATTTGTTTGTTATGATTTTAGTGTTCTATCTTTGACTATTAATACAACTTCATTATCCATTGTCAATGGTTCTATTTCAGGTTTGGAATGGTAATGCACTGTTGAAATGTATAGTTTGGAGTTAGATTAAGTTTCTGTGTGTTTAAACTAACTAAAATATGTGTGTCAATGCCAATGAAAAGGAATTTGCAGATTCGCTTTGTCAACTAAGAAACGAAACCCTAACTAATGTCTTAGTATTGAGAAGTCAATCGATGATTTGTTTTTTATATCAGTATGTAACAGTATTCAGTAACCAGTATTTACTCACACACACATTTGTTACATTTATCAGATTTAAAACAACGGAAGGAATTAAATTATTTAATGAAAATTAAAAACAAAAACCAAGGCAAACAAAGAGATGGTTTTCTCTCAAAGGATATAGATATCTGGTCACATTGATAGATAAAAGCATTTTTAGTTTATTTAAATATTACAATTATTTGTTTTACATTTGAAATTTTTAGGGACTTTGGTCCCTACAAGCCACTAGTTTTATTACAAACCTTATAAACATCCTGTTTTTATGACTCCATTAATTTGTGTGGTGGTGAACATTTTAGAAAACAATTAGGTTTGGAAGTGCAGTACATTACAGTATGTAAAAATTGTGACAAAAAAGGTCACTTGGAAAAAGTAAATGAAAAAATGTGTTTTTCAAGACAAAGAAATTAGAGGTCATGAAAAGGGAAGGTACACATGGCAAGTAAATAAAACAAAAGACAAAACGAATTAAATTTTTTATATGATAAATCCTATTTATTCCATATAGGACCAGATGTCATTGTATCAATTTAGCAATGGGAATCAGCTGGTGAATGTGATCCAAAAGTGTTGTTTGAATCTTATCACATACCAACCAAACCACTGTAGAAAACCTATTACAGTTTAGGACGAGCTTTTAAAATATCAAGATAGGTACGATTACAGCATCTGCAGAAAGGAATAAACAATAAGGGCAGTCAGTCATATGACATTTTCTTCCCGCCAAGGATGTTCAAGTGCCTAGTTTTGGCGGTGCAGTCACCGGTGACGAAACAAACTTCCAAAGCAATTATAAGGATTACATAGTTTTATTTCGTAATATAAATTGAACTCTCAGTCGGAGGCCGTATTTAATGTTTATTGCAAATAATTTGTATTCTGTATACAAACGTGTAATACAACGTTTCTTTGGATAAGTTCACGAACCAGCATGGAACGGAACTATGGGAACGGGTTTTCATGGTGGGTTTTATGGGGGGTAGCGGATTTTTATCCCCCTGGAATTTTACCCCCTGGGCAAGCGTGACGTCACAAACCAGGGGGTAAAATTCCGGCCGCGAACTTTTGAGTTTCGCGACATCAGCTCGATGGATTAAACGCGGAATTAAACATATATTTTCACGGTTGTGAATTTAATCAGAACATTCAGAACACGTCAAATTATAAAAACCTAGTGTACGGCCCGGATTTTTACCCCCGGAATTTTACCCCCCGGATTTTTACCCCCGGAATTTTACCCCCCGGATTTTTACCCCTGGAATTTTACCCCCTGGCCAGATATATAAATTAGTGAGAATGATTAATTAACTTCATTCTGTTTTAATTTAATAGTAAACATTTTATTATTAAGTAGCCTATCTTAATTTATTTGTAAAATTCGAACAGCTTTTTTATTTTAATTTTGAGATTCGAGTATCAGGATTCGATCTTTGAAGCCAACTATTAATATGACATATAAACAAACATAAGAATGGTAATTGATTTTAACATTTCTTTAAAGATTTATTATGCAACCGTGGTAAAACAATTTTTTTCGTTTGTATTGTAACAATAACAAAATGTGCCTTATTGTTTCTTTACGAAGAAATGCTCACCAAATTATCATTTAAATGAGCTACTCAGTTTAAGTTACATACTTATTAACCAACAGTTGGCCCCAAACGCAAATCCCTAACATAAAAATTAAACAGCGAATTCTGTTTACTTAGTTGAGATTACAAAATAAATAAATAAAGAAAGACTACTAAATAATGAAATCTTTACAATTAATGAAAAACAGAAATAAGAAAATCAATCATTAAATTTCTAAAATCGGCCAGGGGGTAAAATTCCGGGGGGTAAAAATCCGGGGGTAAAAATCCGGCCCGTACATCTTCAGTTGTCTAAACGCTAGTTATATGGACAGGGGGTAAAATTCCGGGTTTATCGCTAATCTAATTAATCACGCTCTGGCTATTTTCATTAGACTTCCAAATCCGCGGGGGTAAAATTCCGGCCGCGAACAAACTTTTGGCCACTCAGGCTACTACGTCATAGTGTGCTAAAGCAATGTCTTTAGACAGCTGAAATGTTCTTAATGTTTTGATTTTTGGTTTCTATGGAAATAATTTGTATTGTAAATAATACTGAAAGAAAGAAAGTTAACAAAAACTCAAACTCTTAATTTATTTCAACTTATATTAACTTATACTATACTGTTATAGCAGGTAAACCTATTTACAACTTAAACTAATCCACGGATTCACTATATGGTAGCAGAGCGTGGTTTCCTGCTTTAACTTTTTAAAACTTTCTTTAAACTTAACTTCTTTACTCAAACTTTTTACAACTTTGAACTTCACCTTCAAGAATAACCAAAAATGTCTTCAAGATGGGACCTTCGATTGAAATCTGCCTTACTGCAACTGAAGACTTATATAAAGGATACAACTACAGTATTGGACACCACGGAATTCACGGAGCTACAACTTGAAACAAGATTACAAACTTTGACTAGCTTTGTGGAGAGCGTG